GAAGGGGAAGGGAATTCCTGTGGTGCACTAAGCATTCCCAGGACGATGGTAGATAAATGATATACAGAATGATGTATATTAGGTTGGAGATGGTCTCTATCAGCCCCAAAAGGTAATGTCTCTGCAGAGCAACCTTAACCCTCTGAATGCTCACTCTCAATCACAGAGGCTCATCCAATTGTGCATATTTAGAAGTGCCTTTGTTATATTAAGAGTCTTATGTTAACAAGACATCTAGAAGTTCAAATTTATTCAGAAATCATTTTAAACTGCTACAATGCAGCATCACGTACTAATTTTTAATCTCTACTCAGCAAAAGTAGATAGTCTGCCTTATCAATGAATCTCATGGATCCTAAAAAAGAGTGAAGTAAAAGGAAAACTTACTCATAGCTCATTATAGACAGTTTTTTTTCAAAACTGAGACATAATTTACATACTACAAAATTCACCCTTTCAAAGTGTACAATTCAGTGTTTTTAAGCATATTCACAAGGTGTGCAGCCATTACCATGATCTATTTTAAGAACATCTTCAGCTGGGTCCCAGAGGCTCATGCTACTGGACAGGCAGAGATTAGGACCACCATGGTTTGAAGCCAGTCTGGGCAAAAAGCAAGACCCTATCTCAAAAATACCCAATACAAAAAAGGGCTGCTGGAGTGGCTCAAGTGGTGGAGCACCTGCCTAGCAAGGGTGAGACCCTGAGTTCAAACTCCAGTACTGACAATCAACATTTTCATCCCTTTAAAAGGAATTCTGGACCTATTATGCAAATTCTGGACCCACTGTCTCTTTGCATAACTTCTGGCAACCACTAATCTACTTTCTTTCTCTATGCATTTGTCTATTCTGGACATTTCATATAAATGGAACAATACAATTTGTGACTTTTTGTGTGTTCTTTCTTTTGTAAACATGTTTTCAAGGTTCATTTAGGTTTAACAATTAACTCATTTTTATAACATGGATGCATCAAATTTTGTTATCCATGAATGGCATTTTAAAAATTTGTTTTTGCTGCCTAGTTCTCAAGATAAACTAAGACTCAACTCAAGACACAATATATTATTCACATGCTAATCTCTTGGCCTACAACACTGATCATCAACATTTTACCTAAATCAATTTATAACTCATACCACAACGGGGCATGGTAGATAACCCTTGTAGTCCCAGGAGGACTGCTCAAGCCCAGGAGCTCAAGAACAGCCTGTGCAACACAGGAAGATGCTATTTCAATAAATAAACAAACTAAATAAATAAATCTCATCCTTTATTTGTGATATTTTGTCTTGTGAGTACTTTGGTAAATACTTCCTAGGTTTTCTATCTACACTTTTTTTTCTAAAAATCACTGTTTCCCTCTTCCCTTCCATATTATTATCATGACCTTGCTTCTGTCTAGAGGTCCAGGAATGTGCACCTAATTCAAGCTGGACCATTTAGACACTCACTGGGAATGCAGAATTGGGAGGAAGATTCTGTTTCCAACTATCTGTTCTCTTGATCAGAAGAGCTACAATCTCAGGAGATTTGACTGTTACCAATATCTGCTATGTAGACTAAGAAACTGAGAAAAGTAGTCTGCAGGAAGAGAAGAACAGAAGAGAAACACACAGAGAGAATAGCAGAACAAGAGACAAATAAGTACTCCTGGCTTGCTATGGTGTTCTAGTCCCTGACTCCAGGCCATTCCTAAAGCCTGATTGCATTCCTGCCCTAGGATTCCATGGGGCACCTATGTACTTAAAATAAATCACTCTTGCTGTTTAAGTTAGTTAAGGAGGTTTCTGTTATGTCCAGCAAATGGCCTGAATAAAATCATCTGTCCAACAGAATTTTAAGTTCCTTGTCTTTTATGGGGTGGGGTGAGGTGGGAAGGTAGGCAGAGGGCTGGTGATTGAGCCCAGGGCTTTGCACATGCTAAGTAAGTGCTCTATCACTGAGCCACATCCCCAGCCCGTAAGCTCCTTTTTAGCAAGGAATCAGCTTCCACAACACTTATTACCCAAACACATACTTATTTAAATTACTAACTATAAGATAATTTGAAAATTTACCTATGAAAAATATGTAAGACATTCTTAGATTAGTAGGTCGAAAAAAATTAAGATTGTGTCCATTTTAATAAAAAAAATCTCTATCATCAGACTGGATATGATGTAGCTCAGTGGTAGAGTGCTTGCCTAGTGTGCACAAAGCCCTGGATTCAAATACACATCGCTGAAAAAACAAAATCTGTACCATTGTTTCACCAACTCAATATATTTTTGCATCCATTTTACAGAAAAATCATTCCCTCAGAAAATAAGTAAGCTTCTTGGTGTTATATTAATACATGTCCTTGCTTGATAAATGTTTTAAATCTTTTTAAAAACTGAAGTGTTATACTTTTAAGAGGATTGGGAGTTTCTTGGAAATAAGTAATTTCTATTTTCTTTTTAAGCCAACTCCCACAGATCCTACTAGAGAATAACAATCAGCACACAGATGTGTACATGAGTAGCTGACTTCCCTGGATTCATTTTCCGTACATGGGATATACTGTCAAGTACTAATTAAGTTCCATAGGATAACTTAGCTGTAATTAACCAGCACTGCATACTTCTAATGATTATACAATGAAGGTTGGATAGGTGAGGAAATACTCCTTAAACTACTACACAGAAAGTACATCCCAGCAAGCTGGCACTCCAGCCGGGTCTGAGGGCTCCCACCATTGCCCACCTGCCATGTTAATTCCCTACATGTTTGTGGGAGTATTTCCTTCCTTACATTCAGAACTTGTCAGCTAATTGGTTTTCAGTAGCGATAATAGATAATTTCTTAAATCCCTATTAAATATCTTAAGATATTTTCTTAAATCTGTTAAAAATTCAATAGGGATAAACACACTAATCCCTCAAAGTCTTAGTTCCTGAGTGGATTTCTTATCACACTGCTTAATGCCCCTACCTTCCCTAAGACATACTTAAAAATTTCAAATTATTCCTTTAATATGGTAAAGTCTTAAAAAGAATCCCTTTTAAATTAATGAAGTATTCCAGTTGGGTACAACTCCCTACTATATCAAGCACTGGAGCAGTTTCTGGGTGGTCTTGACCCCCCAATTTCTTTCTCTGTAGCTTGAGGGAATCACATAGGCCAAAGCTCTGACAGATAAAGTACTACTGTCCCCTTCCAAAAAATTCAAGCCTCTAGGTTTAGAATGGCTCACACTAGAATTTGCTAGTTTCCATAGATTTAAACTGTTAGAGTAGGAAAGGACTTTAGAAATCTACTTAACCTAATTATTCTGCAAATCAGAAAGGTGGGTAAGACATTCCAGTTCTACAGAGTAAGTTGATAAAACCAGCACAGTTAGAATAAGAGTACTCAGACTCCCAGGGAAGCTCATTTCATCACACCACCCACCTGAAATGCTTAAGTATGGACAGTATTGAAATTCCCCTACTTTCTCAGAGGAAAAAACAGAAATAAAGACTACAATCTAGTAGGGTATAGTGGCTCATATCTGTAATCCCAGCTATTATGCAGAAGGGGTAAGAAGGAATGCAGTTCAAGGCAAGCCCAGGCAAAAAGTTAGTGAGAGGTGATTTCAATAAATAAGCTGATGTGAACAACTGTGATCCCAGCTTGCAAGAGGCAGAAGGCATTAAGTAATAGGATCTCTCTGTCCAGGCTGGCCTAGGCAAAAAACGTGAGATCCTACCTGGAAAATAACTAAAGCAAAAAGGTCTGGGGGTGAGGCTCAAGTGGTAGAGCACCTGCCTAGCAGCATGAGGCCCTGAGTGCAAACCCCCATAACTGTTAAAAAAACCAAAAAACCCTACAACTTTTTGCTTTTGAAAGAGAAGGTGAAAGGTAGAGGACCACATCTTATTTTATGGAGGTAAATGACTTTTTTCTTAAATATCACAGAACTATGGCTCAGGTTCTAAAAATTGCCATTGAGGTATAAATGTCTTCAGGCTTGTCCTGAAGGCTAAGGAAATGTTAACCAGGTCTTCCCCGCAGCCTAAAGGTTTTCACAAAGAACTGCAGCAGCTATTGATATTACATGCCCCCAAATATCTCTACTCCCTCATTTCCACTAACTACATCTATAGTCCCTTGGCCATAAGAATGGGCCTTTTCCTAAGCCTGGCTAAGCAAATGTTTCACATCACTGTCAAGACCTAAATTGGTATAAATGAATCCTTCCCTAGAACTGTGTGTAACACAGATCCTGAGGAAAATGAACTTCTTCCCTATTTCTTGCCATGTGAATGAAGGCCATCTGCAATAGGAAAGCCTAACATTAACATTCAAAGTGAAATAGAGATAATAAGACAGTGAGATGGCAAGAATCCTTGGTTCTTAATCTTGGCTGGTTCCTTTCATTTTCTGGGTTAAACCTGGATCTTTCTCAGCAACAGAAACCAGTAAATTCCTTTTTTCTTAAAATAGTTTGAATTGGGTTTTTGTCACTTGTAACTCAAAAAAAAACCTAACCTATACTCATCCCAGGAGAGTGGACCCAGATAAGCATATAACAACCAACTTTACTGTTTCCATTATGTGGCCCTCAAAGTCTTTGAGTTTGCCAACACTTATGTGCTCTTTATAATTTGTTTAACTTCTTAAACTTACCTTTAGATAGGTTCTATTGTCTCTCATATCTATCACTCTTAAAACCTTATACCCACCAACTACACTGTTCCCATTAAATGAACCTGCAAAGTATCTGAGTTTGCCAACACTTGCCCTGAGTTCAAACTCCAGTACCACTAAAAAAAAAGTCTTAGAATTTTAAAAAATCTTAATATAAGCTTGTATCATTTGATTTCTAATAAAAGTTAAATATAAAATATACTCCAACTAATAAAAGTTAAATGGGATTTTTATCTTATCTACATTGTCAAAAAGGTAGATGAAGTATCAACAGGACAAAATTTCAAAATTTAAAGCAAATCCAACAGAGACATGACTACTTGACATAACAAATCTCAAACCTACCTCCAGTAAGGCTCCAGTTTGGAAGAATTTCAAAGGCTTTTCAATTGAATAATAAAGGCTGTGGTAGCTCCCCTTAGCCAAGTATGCTCTGACCAGACCAACTGCTATAACCAACCACCTAATAAAAGAGAAAAGAGCAGTGAGGAGGTGAGGGGATAGGATATAATGCAGGAAAAAGATGTGGTAGATGCAGTTCTTTAGCAAAATCTTGATTCTAGATTAATTGAATGCTATGGTTTGGATCTTAGTGCCCCCCAAAGGCCCATGTGTTAAAGGGTTAGTCTCTAAGGTGATATGATTGAGAGATGGGGAGGTCTTTAAGTGGGTGTGCCCTGAAAGGCGATTGGGGGTCCCTGGCTATTCCTTTTTAATCTCTTTTGCTCCCTGGCCATGAGGTGATTGACTCTGTTACCCACCCCTGTCATCATGTGCTGCTTTCACAGGCTCAAAGCAATGAGATCAATTGTTTGTGAAATGGAACCTCTAAAACTGTGAGCCAAAAGCCTTTTCTCTTTATAAGTTTATTATCTCAGGTATCACATTGATGTGAAAGCAACTAACACATCAACTATAGCTCTCAAGACTTAGTTGTAATGCACATAAATATCACATCACCAACAGCAGTCTGCCAAGAGTGCTCAGTAAAAGCATGGTGGCACCTCACCCACTGGGAGCTTGTCTTTTTGGCAAACTTGCCTACAGAGAATAAGGTCAAAATGAAGGGAATAAGCTAAAATGGTCCTTGTGCAGATAAATTAGGTGTCATAAAGTTTAAGACAAGAGGGGGGAATTTTTCAAGGACAAAATTAAATGGCATGTGCAGTTGAAGGGTCTTTAATAATAATAAAAGATGTTTTCTTTCTTTCTTTTTTTTTTTACAAGAATCTCACTGGAACATAACCATACCTTAAAATTTATCCTTTCAAAATTGCAAATAAAGAATAAGAGGCCGGCTTTTAAGTGTTCTAGTTGAATTTCCCAAAACCAACTCAGAAAAGACAGATCAATAGGCTTATTGATTAGAAAAATACAAAACAAGGAAGTACTCTGGCATACAGCTGTAAATGTTACATTTCTGCTCCACTTTCCATCTCAAAAATAAGTCAGGTCCTGTAATTTTTATTAAGTTCCATAATGAAACAAATGGGCCTTTATTATTAAGGGGGGGTCTCCTAGAAGGCAGTCATAGATATACCTAAGTGCACAATCTCAACTAGGCAATGGTATACATGATCTATTCCTTCTACAAACTATCATACAAGGACATTAAATAGGAGTTTGTGAAAAAAGAAATGAATTCCTTAATGATGTAACTGGCCCAACCTTAGCGGTAATAAATCACTGCTCTATTTATTAGCACTAAATTTGAGCATTACATTGCACTCACAGTCCCAGATTCTCTTCCTGGTTTAGGACACCACTCCTTACCCTCTACCTCATTGTGTTTATCACCCAGGAATAAACACATTTCTTCTTCCCCCCGTGTACGTTAAAATCCCTTCCTGTGCAATGCTCTTGTTAGAAGAATTTTTATATACAAACATACATAAATTCCTGAATATTCTTTAAAAAATATCAATCTATGTGGCCATTTATTTGAAAGGAAACTTGTGTCTATAATAGTTTAGATGACCGATAAGTTAGATCACTTTTAAGAAGTTCTATGATCTCAAGCAAGTCACAACTTCTCCAAGCTAGGTTTCAACACCTACCGCTTCTTACACTAGCAATAAACCTATGATTCTTCCAAGATTTTTTTTTTTAATGAAAACAGAAAGGTGCTGAACTGTAAAGATAAGACCTTTGTATAAATACATGTGCCTGTATCAGTGTCTGAAGAATAACATAAAACTAGCTGCCTCAAGGAAGGGGGTTTGGGTGGAATGGAAGGTTAGGAGGAAAAGATTTTCACTGCACACCCTTGTGTTTACTTTGAATTTTGAAACAGCCAATGTGTTACCTATTCTAAAAAATAAATCAAAATTGGATGCTCACTATACCGTTCTTTAAGCTTTTCTGCATGTTTGAAATTTTTCACTGAAAAAAGTTTGAGAATTTTTTTGTGCAAATGAATACAATTTAAAAACTCACAGCAACGATCTGATCCTGTGATTCTCCTCACCAAAACCATGAGATCAAAGAATTGCTGAGCTAGAGGAACCTTGATCACTAGCCCAACTCTTTATACCGAGGCCCAGAAAAAAAGGTGATACATTCAAAGTCACAAGGGGAGTTAGGTGTCAGAACTAGAACTAAGAACCTGCTGATAAGGGCTGAGGATGGGCTGACCCACCGTTTCGAGGGTCTATTCTCCCCTCACCCGCACCTCTACCTTCATCCCCCAGTTTCGTCCCTTACCCCAACCCAAATGCATTCTAAAAAGTCTAAATCCCCTACAGCACTGCTCTGCTCAGGTCGCCGGCCAAAAAACTTTGAACGCTTTCCCACTTACAGTGCTCTCCCATGAAAGCTTAGCCGGAATTTTGAAATCAGCCGCCTAAAGCAACGGTCACCCTGCAGCCCGGGCTGCCTCAGCTCCCCAGGCTGGACTGGCCGGCGCTGTCCTCCGCGCCAGGGATGGCCGGCGTGCGGCCAGCGCCTGCACCTGTGGCCACCCAGCCCACCAGTCCAGGCTCGCAGGCCGTCGGGGCAGCGCCCCCTCGGATTCAGGTGCTCGGGAAAGTGGCCGACCTCCCCAGGACCGGAGCCCGCGGGCGACCACCGGGCCGACTAGAAGCCCCGCCATCCTCAGCGCCAGGTGCAGGTCCCGGACACCACTGCCCGCGCGCGCCGGGCCGCGCCGCCCTCCCCGGCCAGGCTCGCTCCCGCCTCCCCGAGCCCCAGCCTCACCCCGCCGTCATCACCACATTGTAGATGACCAGGCACGCCGTGGCCAAAGGCCCCGGGCCCTTCCTTTTCCGCATGCCGCTGGCTTTGCTAGCTCCGGCCCGGCCACTGCCCCCTTCATGCCCCTTCGTCGCTGCAGTCGCCGCCACTGCCGCCATGTCAAGCACCAGCAACCCGCTCTCCTGGCGCGAGCACTTCGGGCTGGACGCGATAGGGCGAGGGGGCGGGGAGAGGGATGAGGGGGAGGCGGGGCCGGCGCGGGGCGGAGCCCGGACCGGGCCCACGGAGGCCGCCATCTTGGGTGAGGGCAGAGTCGCTCCTGGCTCTCTCGTCCCTCGGCTCGCCTCAGTCGCCCCCGCCATCTTGGATGAGGGTAATCCGGCCTCTGGCGAGCTGCCGGTAACCACTCCCGGCGCCATCTTGGAATAGGTCAATGTGGTTCTTGGCCACCCTCTCCAGGCCTGCTGTTTTTGACAGGTGGATGCTTCGTTCTCTCCATTCCATCTCTTATAACCACCGCTTCCATGTTGGTTCAAAATGCTTTCCTTGTTCCTCCTTCTCTTGGTTTTCCTCGGTGGCTTTATCTTCACTCCTATGCACATTTGCTCAAGTTGCATGCCATTTTGGATCAGGTAGTTGACGCTGCCATCCATCCCACAGGTGAAGGGAATCAGCCTTTTTGTAGGGTGCGCCCTTTACCAGAACTGGTGAAACTACAGAGAAGTCTCCAAAAAGGAAGATGCCTCTTCCTGCCCCCAGTTTGTGACTGTTTGTCACACACACACAAATTATCGAAGTAGAAATTGAGAAAGTTAATTAGTAAAGGAAAGAAAGAAATGGATTCCGTTCATCTGATAAGAGGTACACTGAGTGTTCTATCATCATAGGCATTTATGGTGAAAAAGTGGGTTGGGAGTTTCGATTAAATTCACCTTAAGATAAGTGCTGTCCTTTGTTCTGGACACCTGGTACCTTTAATCACTCTGCTGTTACGCTGTTTTGATATTCCAGTCAGGTCCGGAAATACCAAATTTACTACATTTGGGTCATTGTGACATAGATGTCTGCTTTTCCTTAAGCATCCCTTTAAGCAACTGATAGGTTTCATTAGATGCACCTTTTGTCATTGGATTTGGGTCACTGGGTCTGGGAACCAGAAAATGCTTGCCTTGGAGAAAGAATTCAAGAGGGGCACAGAGGAGACTTAAGCAGGAGCAGGTTTATTAATGCAAAGCAAAGTGAAAGCAAAGCAAAAGTGCACCCTCCAGGTGAGAGGGTAGACAGGCTAAAAAAGGAGCACTACTCTGGAGGTTCCAAAACCTCAAGCTTTTATTGGGGTCTATGGACATGGTCAGTCCTGGAAAACTGGGTTAATTTGTTGCTAACTTCCAGAAACTAGGTTATGCATCATAAGCTCCTCCCATATGTCTGATAGGGGCATTCTTGGCCTTAGATTGTCAGTCCAGTGCTGTCATTTTCCAGGGTATAAGGCTGTAGGTCAGTTAGACCCTGCTATAGCTCACAAGTCTTTCTGTTAGTGTCAACAATCCAGAACGTGGACTTAACAACATCCAAGCCATTGTTCTCAGCCATTAAACATTTTCTAACTCCCTGTCTTACCCTGTATCACTTTTATGTCAAATGTCCTTCCTTAAGATATTTTTTTCCTTCTTTACAAACACTTCTGTCATAAACAAGTCATTTTATTAAATATTTTGTTTCCAGGACAAGTGTCTTTCTTTAAGATATACTTGCTCAGTTTCCAGAGCTTAGTAATCATTTAGGCAAAGCAGGCAAGGTCACAAAGAGCTGCTTTAAAAAAATAATAATAACACCAACAACAACAAAAAAAAACTATGAATTGCAGCTTAGTGAGGAACTGTAAAGTTTAAAACAAAGAAAGTTTATTTCTGAGTTCTTGGCTTCTGTTCCCATGTCTTACTTTCCTTGATCTTTCCTGCCTTGCTCCCCCCCCCCACCCAGTGGCCAAGTTGAGGAATCAACCTCCAAAGGTTTCTTGCCTGCCTTTTGCTTTTAAGTCATGTGTACTGTATATGGAAAAGCCCATGTTGTCTAGTCCCTGATGTCCTCACTACGAGCTGGGCAGATGTGCTGCTGCAAGCCTGTAGTTGTGTGGGCTACCCTGCAAGGGTAAGATCAGAGTTAAGAACCAGGTGAGGGCTAAAGGTATCCTATGGTCAATTTTCACACAACCAAGCATCTCCGTAAATATTTTGTATATGTGGTAGTACAAAATATTTATGTATTTATTCCAACAAGTATTTATGAAGTGTCTACAAGGTTGCAGTGGGTTTCATGGTACTAAATGAAAGACAGCAAAGCCCTCATTCTCTCAGAGATTAGATAGAGGGAGCCAGATGAAAATAAGTGGTGAAAAATGAAACGAATTAGAAAATTATTACAATAATCCAGGCTGTCAAATAATGGTTTGGAGTAGAGTGGTAGCAACTGAGGTGATGAAAATTGAATTCTGGAAATATTTTAGTACTCGTAAGAGTTGTGGATGTAGTATTTGATTTGAGTGAGAGGTAAAAGAAGCTTTGGAAATACTTGGAAGAATAAGTTGTAGAAAAAGTGATTTCAAAGGCAAAAGTCAGGAAAATTTTGTATATGTTGAACTGAAATCCTTATTAGATATCCAAGTGGAGAGGTTGAGACGATTAGATTTAGACACTGAGGTTCAGGGAAGAAGTGTAGGCTAGAGATAGAGATTTGAGACATCAAATCTTAAAGCCAAGACACCTCCAGAAACTGAGAGGTTGGAAGTAAACGACTGCTGAAGTCTCATCCTTTACTGCCTTAATAGTTTGCATAGAGACCTGTCTTCTTATTTTTCTGGTGTCTTTAAAGAGCAAGTTTGTAGGCCAAAATTACAGACTGTAATCAGAGGGAGAAAAAAAAAGTTGTTTTTGTTTGCTTGTTTGCAAAAGAAATAAAGGAGTGAACTGTTTTGCAAAACAAATAATCATTTATCTAAAAACTTATTTCCTTCATTTAACTGTTTTCTCTATATAATGAGAAAGTAGGAGATAGGAATTGATAAAGCTCTGTCAGTTGGAAATCAATTTAAAATTCAGTGTATCATCTCACAACCACTTAGGCTCAACCTCTACTTGTTCTATAAGGTATAATCTTTTCCAAGTACAACTTTGAGTTTGGTACTTCCCCTACTCCATCACCTTAAGATATTTAAGTGACTTTTAATGTCACTTAAAGTGTAAAATATTTAATGTGACCTATAATAATCTGCGTGGTTGGGCCTTTACCTGCCTCTCCAGTCTTGCTATACTAGCTTTATCTTAGGACTTCCAGTAAGCAAGGTTCCTTTCTGCCTAGAACAGTCTCTGATCATACCTTCCTTTTGATGTAAATTCTGCAGTTATTTTGTTAAAGGGCATGTCTCTGAACTTCTGGAATGAATTATTCTTCCTGCTGTGGTCTCCAAGTTCTTCTATGACATAGCCCACATTAATTTTATACTTAGTCATGTAATTTCTCTCTGCCACTAGATTACAAGTTTTAAAAGACAAGAGCAGTGGTATTTTCTTGTTGGTGGTGGCTCATTTGAGTTGTTCATATCCTTGTATTTCCCTCTCATTGCCTGACATACCACCTGGCAACATGATACAGTAGGGATAAACCATGGTTTCACTGGTGAAAATAATTATGTGCTGATTTAGGAGTCTGGTGACACATGTAAACCTTATCAGAGCCACCTACTGTGAAATTGGTCTGTAGATGCGCAGGTGTAGAGTTTGTCTTTTTGCTGGTATTGTTAAAGGTAAGAAGGTGAAGTTCCTGGAAATCATGCATGTGTAGAGAGATTGTCAATAGAATAAAACAAATAGACATGAGAATGTGTGTTTGGGGACATGAAGTTTTGGGTTCAGTTTCTGAGGCCAGGTACCTGATACTTTTCTTCCAATTTTGTGTATTATTATTCTTTCTACCTCATGAGTCAATAAATTCCTTTTGCTTAACCGAGTGGTCCCCAAAAAAAGACTCAGTTGTTCAAACAAAAGTCCTGGAAATTAATCTTGGTTTGGCTTGGGTTACGTGCCCAATTGTAGGAATTGACTTTGGTTGAAATGTATTTCTTCTCTTACTAGAAAGCAGTCGTTACCAGATGAAGGGGATGGATACTGGCCAGGTATAGAGGGTTGAAAAATGGTTTCTTAAGAGATACTGATGCCACATCGCTGGGACCTGTGAATGTTACCATATTTGGAAAAAGAGTCTTTGCAGATGTATTTGAGTTAAGGAGCTTGTGATGAGAAGATAATACTGGATTATCCAGATGGCATCTAAATGCAATCACATACATTCTAATAAGATAGACACACAGAAGAGAATGAGATCCATAGATAAAATGGAGGAGGAACTGTGACCATGGAGGCAGAGATTGGAATGAATGATGATTTTACTAGAATCTGGAAGATGGATTCTCTCTTAGATCCCAGAGACAATGGTCTCTGCCAGTACCTTGATTTCAGAATTCTGAGAATTGTGAGAGAAAATCTATTTTAAGCTATCCAGTTTATGGTAGTTTGTTACAGTACCCACAGAAAACCAATAAGGCAGGTAACAACAAAAGATGCTGAATGTATATTATCTCGCTTCCAAGTATCTTACACCCTTGTACAGGGGAAGAGCTACTTTCAAAGAACAACTGAGGATAATAAGCATATTAGAGATATCCAAGTACACAGAGACTGCTCTGAGGTATCAGAACATTCTGAGAACTATAAGACAGTTACTACTGTGAGGGGAAATAAGTCAGGAAGAAACTTCCTAAAGAAGTGTTGAGCAATAATCACTAAAATAGTAATGGAATATTATGAAAGGGTGGAGACATTATAATAGGAAAAGATTCTACAGAAGGCTAGTCAGGGTGAAATGACAAGAATGAGTTTAAGTAATAGTTGGACCTTAGGTACTGGCTGGGGAATTTAAATTTGAACTAGACATAATAATGAAGTATCATAGGTTCTTAAATAGTTCTAGGTTTAAAGTATTACCTAAAAAGAAACATCAGCTTCCATATATTACTTTCCTCTTGCCTCTGTAACAAATTACCAAAATTTAGTGGTTTAGGCAACATGAATTTATTCCCTTAAAATTCAAGGGTCAGAAGTGCAAAATTATTATTACACAGATAAAATAAGGTGTCAGTAGGGCTT